AAGAACATGACTCTAGTTTTCAGGTTAAATGTTTTGGTTTTGTGGCAATTGGCGGTGTTGGGTGAAACTATCTCTAGCACAGCCTCTTCTATATTCAATTTCCTTATGTAACAATAGTTCAGTTATAGTGATCCTATTGTTCAATGAAGTTTGAGGTGTACTTACCAAAATGTTGTAAATGAGCTTGCATGAATATTTTAGCCAATAAGGATTATTTCCTTTGGCCGACTATTTTGTTCAAGTCATTGTCTTCCTCTAGGACTGAGGGCCAAGTAAACGGTAGTCGTCCATATTTTTCTATGATTTTTCGTAAACTTACACCTACATGTATAGAAGCTACATCAAACCTGTCTTCGTTGGGAAGCATTGAAGAGGCTCTATATTGGTGCGCCGGTGGGAAGTGGGATATGAACAAGCGACAGGTTAACCACTTATAAATAACTATTCGTGATTTACTTCGTCTAAAATAAATCTATTTCAAGGTTAGAAAGTTTTGTTAGAATTTTGATGGGTATTTCTACAGCCAGTTTCTCTTTCTGTGTCTATCTAATCAGATCATTAATGAGATAAACTTAAATTGACTGAAGAAGGCGCAACGTAGCCAGAGAAAGAGACGTCTTTACCAGTCTTTGCCACCTGTTTATGAAATTAAAATACGGCTGATAGCGTCAGTGAAAGAACTAATGGATTTTTCAGAAAACCAGCAGCAGCTGCTACCCAAAACTTCCACTGTGACGTGACATGGCAAGAAAAAAGAAAAGAATGTTGTTAGATTTTTCATTCTCGTTAAGTCTATCAGCTAAAAAATGTTTTAAAATGTAAAAACTTAGCTATTTTTGTTAACGATATAAAACTAGACACCTGGTCTAAGACTCTTTTCTGCTTCTATTGGCTTCTTCTAAGGTGAGTAAGAGATTATATGGAGATGCACGTAAAATAGCATTGGCAAACCGAGTTCAAATTCCAGCTTATTCTATTGCATTTACTTTCGCACAAATGTCCATGGGAAATAAATGTATTTATTCTCCGTCCAGCTCTTAGTTAAACTGCGTGGCAGAGAATGGCAACTCTGAATTCCAAAACCGTGAAGAAGCCAATTGGGAACTGTTATTCCCCCCAGGAATGCATTGCATCTCATATAACATGAAAAAAGTTTATACAATAAATAATAATGGTACCTCCTCGTAGAGAAATAGTTAGCGAATTAGTTTTTACAATTAATGGAGAATGTTCAATCTTCAACGTAGGCATTACACATATAGCTTTGTACGAGACGAGCTTCGTGATTACCTATACTGCAAAAATTAGTGGGCGTCTCTCCGTGGAATTAATCATTATCATTGGGTGCACCACTATGACGACCTTGTACCAGACACTGCTGTACTTAGTATGTGCTAATACAGATGCCCAGTAGGGGAGTAATAGCTAGTAAGGTTGCTAATGTGGTCAGTTCGATACTCATTGGGTGCTTTATTAATATCGCCTTGTACCAGAGAAATTGGTGCCGATATTTGCAAACGATTTTTATTCTTTCAATCGTTGTGCCCTCCGGCCTTCAACCGGAAGAAGGCCTGGCGGGCGCAATGGCCGAAACGTTGTTATAATAAGAACAAAAAGGAGGATAATAGTCCGTATGTAAATGAAACTTTCAGGACTTTTTTTTTTCTTTAGAAAATCATGGTAATTTTTTTTTTTACATTTGTTCCCACCCCCGCCACCACTTATTTAATTTCATGAAATTTCGGCAAATTAAATTTTGTCCCATTTAATGTTTATATTTGTTAAAAGCAGAACTTCTTGGAGAATTTAAATCAGAGGTTCTCAGCCATTTTTTTGCCAATGGACAACTTTTACTCTTATTTTTTATTTTTTTTGGTAGACACACACACCTACATGTATAGAAGTCGTATTTCAATAAAAAAAAAAGCTTATTTTATTTTTCAGTAATAAATAGATTTAGGAATTGTATTGTAGAAATAGTAAATGTATATACATTATTTTGAAGTAAAACTAATTTAATGAAAATAAACCTGTATTTAGCAACTAAATTCTGTGTGTCATTTATGTAAAACTAGTAAAATAACTCATAATAAACTAAACCATTTTAAAATGGATCCCTGTGGACCCCAGTAATGTTACATGGACCTCGGATGAGAATTACTGATTTAAATGATCAATTTTTTTGTAAAATAGGAACACCAGTTACCTAAAATCTGCTCTGAATCGTAAAATAAAAAAGGCAATAAAAAACGAAGACATTAAATTAGACAAGCTTTTAATTGCTTTGATAAATAACATTATGAACACTATTGCCTTAAGAAAAATAAATTTCGATGAATTTTTACACGAATTGTTTTCATTTTTAAATTTTTTTTAATTAGAATGATTTATAAAGTTTTAAATCCTGTAAATTTCTGAATTAATTTGAGCCGGTTAGGTGATATTGTTATTAAGTAAAAAGTATATTTACTCATCATAAATGGAAAATTTATACAATTCATCGAACACCAGTATTTTAAAAAGAATTTTGAATTTTTTGTGTGTATAAACGTGCCGATTTTTGTAAATACGGGCATCCATACAAGACATCAGAAAATATGAGTGATAACTATAGTAAATTTAAAGCCACGTACTTAAAATTCAATAAAATATTAGATTACAGGGAATATTTTTATAAATTTATAAGATTACTGGGTAGTTAAAATTATATAGTAAAAGGCGCCCACGTTATATTTCACAAGTAAATTTTACAGATGTATCCACCGTAAAAACATGATAAATTTCCGTCTTTCAGTTAAGCCATCAAGATCTAAAGTAAACAGCTGCCGACCGTGTTAAAAAAGTATTTCTGCGATATTATAAAATTAAAGGAAATAGTATGTTTCAAATCTGATTAATAGGCTAATATTCCTGAAATAAAGTTTCCAAAAAGTATATTTTATCTTTGAAAAGTATACTTTATCTTTTTATAAAGAGAATTAAATTGCGATGGCAGTTGGCTAAAAATGGCACTAAATTTAAATTAGTTTTGAAATACAGCAAAGTATATCGCTTATTGGCAATATTAAATTTAATCTATTCCCAAGAAATTAAAAACTAAAAATTAAAACTAAAATAAAATCTTCAAGAAAATTTTCATTTTTATGAATGAATTTTAAACCTTAGGTATCGCTTTTCTTTAGCGATACTTATATATATATATATATATATATATATATATATATATATATATATATATATATATATATATATATATATGTGGGGGGGTCTTTATTACTTCAAACGTTATTTTAGTAGATACTCAGCTTCAAGAAAGATTTTTTTATTTTTCAAAATTCATTTTAAACCTTAGGTACCGCGAGTCATTAGAAGTACCTACCTTTAATTATCCTTTATTAAGAATAAAATATAATATAATGGCACCAAAAGACATTTTGACGCTACAAAATCATCTGTTAGATTTTCAAAATTAATAAAATATTCAATGAGAAGATGAATAATTTTTTTAAGTTTTTAATTTTTTTTATTGAGAAATTATGAAAGTATAGTAGCGCAACAAGATATATTTCAATAGGAAACCTACTGAAATATATCTTCAATATATGTCGTTTTTACGGCTTATCAACCCTTTAAATATTATTTAAAACCAGAAAATATTTTTAGATTGTTAGAATTTTTATTTTTGTGGCGGAGGTAGGGCGGATAGTAATCATTTAGCGATACTTTATATATATATATGTAGAAGAACTTTTCCCAAGGGTATTTTGCGAGTAAGTGAATAGCAAACACAACTCTGTGATTAACAATTCCGAGCCATTTTCTATTACACATCCAAACTTGCTTATGGCCACATCATGTTGAAACACCAGTTCCCGTTAAGTTAAGTAACGTCAAGCCTGGTCAGTACCTAAATTGGTGATCGCATAGTGATACCAGGTGCTGTAAGGTTGGATGTGCTGGTGGTGTAATGAATGGCTCGGAATTGTTAATCAGCGAGCCGAGTTCCAGTTTTAGTTGGGTTAGTTATATTCACTTTCGCGCAAATATCCTTAGGAAAGGTATGAATCCATCTCTCCTCCCTCAGCTAAGGGTTAATTAGTAAAACTTGTATTATTAAAACCATTGTTATCTCAAAATAAATAAATATGTCGGAGTTAGCTCCTTCTTAATTTCCTAATTTTCACTAGGGTCACTCTCTCTACATTATAAATACTCGGCAACTTGTTGCCTCGTTCTCTTTTTACTTTGCATTTCAGCGGGCACATTTAAAAATGTGATTTCTCACAGAGATCAGCGTGTTTGCCCACTTGTGGGAAAACGCCATTAAACACACATACACGTACGTACGAACATTCACCAAAATACAAACTCTTTACGTCCACACACAAACACAAATGTTGATGTCTTTGTCACTTGTAAATTTGTTGTTTAATACATATATTTGTTGACATATATATATCGATCTTGTTTGTTTTCTTTACATCTTCGGTTGGACTCAACTTGAGTCCGCCATTTTCTTGTAGTTGGACTTTTTTCTAGCAGGAAATAAACAGCGCGTGTTCCTAACAACACTCAAACACACACGGTCCTCTACAAACAAATAAATTTACGTACAAAATATTTAGATTTCAGCATTAAATAACCCATACAGATGTTGATATACCGCTAAACAAACAACATCCAAGCTTACAGTACTTGGTATCTCTAAGCGATCGCCCATTTCGGTACTGACCAGACTCAACGTTGCTTAACTTCGGTGATCGTACAAAAAAATTGCTGTCTTTTAAAGTTTCTGGTTGAGACTTGGTAGCAACACTTACTACATAAAGTAAAGGCAAAACACAATAATAATAATCATTCTACACCGGACATGGCTCTCATGGCCTCTAATCTTAATTGCTTAGGGGTGTTAACATTTAAATGTGTTTGCATGTATGAAGATGATAATGATAATATTTATCCATTACTTATTATACATTACCTCACTCACACATCCAAGCTTACAGATCCTGGTATTCCAAAGCGGTAACCCATCTAGATACTGACCCAGCTCAACGTTGCTTAACTTCGATGATCGTATGAGAACCGATGTTTGCACATGATGTGGCCGTAAGCCTTGATCTAGTACTGCGAGAAAACAAGTAGAAGCAAGGGACTAAGGCTCTGATTAGACCTAAAACTTCACCTTCCTTTCTGACAGTGTATAATTAAAAAAAACAAAAAAAAAAAACTGTCGACACCGACAGATGATTTAGCGATTTAACATCTATTTAATAAATATTACACTACACATTGTTTGTTCAGTGGCGTTGTGGCGCCCCCACACCAACAAGTGTCATCTATGGCAATGCTCTGTTTGCCATACCCTAGACACGCCGCTGCTGGTAAAACTGAATGATTAAACGCCTAGTTTTGCAATTTTCCCGCAAGGATTTGTTTGAGCAACTTTTCACAAATTCCTTTTTGTATACGCCGTGTCCCTTCAGTATGTAAACGATCATGGCTCTTCACAATTTCCTGTCCTCTGTATCTCTTATTAAAGTTTGTCTTTTTGTTATCCCTGTTCCGCCAACCATTTGCACAGGCTCGTTAGGTAAGTTATGTACTGATTTTCTCTGTCACTCTTGCCTTCAGTATGTCCTGTGAGTTTCAAATCTGCTAAGCCTTCTTTCCTCATTTTGTGCTGTAGAAATTTCATCTGTTTCTTTCGGATGCTAAGTATAAGTGCTCTTTTCGTTTCCATTTTCTCTAAAACTCCGTCACTGCTCACACGTCCAGTCTATGGTATTCTTAGCATCTTTTTGTAGAACCACGTTTCTGTTACCTCAAGTCTCTTCTTCATCTTGGATGCGATTGTCTAGCATACACTGTCATATAGGAGTACCGATATTATATCAGTTCAGTACTTTTTTTTATTTGTTTCTAATTTAATTTCCATGTTTCTTAATACTTTCCTTAGCTTTTGTAAAGCATATTTCGCTATCCCAATGTCCATTCTGATTTCGGCGTCGCACTTTCAACCCTCTGTTAAAACACTTTCTAGATATTGAAATTTGTGTACTTACTTAATTTTGGTGTCTCCAATTTGTAATTTGCACGTTGGACTGTCCCTTTTGCTGGCAACCATACATTCTGTCTTCTTATAATTGATGCTTAGTCCTTTCTTCTTGCTTTCATTTACTACTTTCTGGAGGATTTCCTGCAGTTTCCTTTCTGTGTCTGCTATCAACAATGTCATCTCTATATTTAACATTGTTAAGATTGTGGCCGCCAATAATTAATCCTAGTAGAACTTCTAACTTTCTCAGGATTGCTTCACTATAAAGATTGAATAAATCCGGCGAGAAGATATACCCTTTTCTTACGCCTCCTTCTCTTTGTATATTTACTGAATTTGAACTAAAAATAAGAAAATAACAGCTTATCAGTGATCAGATATTAATCAATTGCAAGCGTGAACGACTCAATACAACTACCATATGTATAATGTAAATTATTATTATTATAATTATTTTACTATAAAAATGCACTGTAAATAATTTTACTATAAAAATGCATTGCAAATCACGGAGAAAAAGACAAATGCAAGCATTACTGACTGAATAGATCTATTATCCGTATAGTGTAATATTTTAAATGATCACGTCGAGGTCACCAATTATTAGAATGTCTGGTGAAGATAACTTAATTTCACTATACGAACGTAAGTATTACTATATCTGCGATGTGGGAAAAAACTTTAATGGATGAAAACAGGCTACGTATACACTTGTTTGAGAGACAACACTTTTCTTGCATATTTGCAGAACTTTAAGTAGACAATAGTTTTCTCGTGCAGTGAGCCGAAAATATTAAATAACATAGAAAAAATGATTTACGGTTTTACTTGATAGTTGACTTGGTCATAAATTGTGTCCGTGATGCGGTTTATCCATGAAAGGGAAGAGAAAATTGAGACCTGGAGGAGACATGATGGCGCTCTTTAGGTACTGACCAGGTTCAACGTTGCTTAACTCTGGTGATCGTACGGGAGCCGGTGTTTGAACGTGATGTGGCCGTAAGCCTTGATTTCGTACTGCGAGAAAACAAGTAGAAGCAAGGGACTAACACAGGCTATGATTAGGCCTAAAACTGCACCTTGATATGCGCATAAATTGTAGCCGAATCAAGAGCAGATAATTTGGTTTCTTTTGTTGGAGTTAGCTCCTCCTTAATTTCCTAATTGTCACTAGGGCACGCTCTCCCTGCACTATAAATACTGCCCAATTTATTGCCCTGTTCTCTTTTGACTTTGCATTCTATGTATCCCACATGGTCTAGTGGTTAGGATTCCTGGCTTTCACCCAGGCGGCCCTGTTCGATTCCAGGTGTGGGAACACTTTTTCTATAGGTTGTTTAGGCGATTAGTTGAAGATTCCGGCCTAGTGCCACAAATGACCGCGTGGGGCGGTTGGCAAATATCCTTTTGACTTTGCATTTCAGCGGACACATTTAAAAATGTGACCTCTCACAGAGATCAGCGTTTTTGCCCACTTGTGGGAAAACGCCATTAAACACACATACACGTACGTACGAACATTCACCAATATACAAACTCTTTACGTTCATACACAAGCACAAATGTTAATGTCTATGTCCATTGTAAATATTGTTGTTTAATACATATATTTGTTATATATATATATATATATATATATATATATATATATATATATATATATATATATATATATCTCGGTCTTGTTTGTTTTCTTTACATTTTCGGTTGGACTCAACTTGAGTCCGCCATGTTCTTGTAGTTGAACCCTCTAGCAGGAATAAACAGCACAGGTTCCTAATTTAAAAACACGTACACTCAAACGGGTCCTCTACACTTTTTAACGCTACAATGCTATAGAACTGAGTATTGTTTTGTTTTTCAAATGTAATTTGTCTGTATTAAGACATATTTATTATTTTCGTTCTCTTACTAGAACATGCAGATTCATCATGAAATTTCTAGAGGGTCATTTTTAAAGCTCCACTCAGTCCCAGTCATAGTATATACGACAGTGTTCCTCATTAGTTCGTATTAAACATTTGAGTCACCAATCACTCCCATTTGGAAACACAGATAATACATACACACTGGCTAATGTTTCGTGTATTAATACAGTCTGAGACAAATACCCCCCCCCACAAAAAATTAAAGATTGACTAAAATACTAAAGTAACTGTTATTAAAAAAAATGTATTTCACTGTTGTTTAAAAAAAGGGCTACATTTTTTCATTTGTTTTCAAAAATTGCATCTTCCAAATAGTGGCTTTTATTCGACATACGCCGTTGTAGACAATTTCTAAAGTTTTCCAGCACCCGGAAATTTGAGTGCTTTAAGGTCTTCTACGTGGCTTTCTTTTAACCAAACGAAATGGCCCTGAAAGGTTCAACCCATAGCAGTATCGATTTTCTATCCAGAACAGCATCATTCCAACATAAAGTGAAAGAAACAAAAAAGCGATCTTTGTTACTATTACAGATTTACCAGTCTTTAAAAAAAAACGTTTCAACAGCAAACGCCCTGTGTGCACCGGCCCAAGCGATAATGGTAACTGATGGTATCTGAAATCAAATGGTAAGAGATTAGCTCGATAAAGTCACCATTTCCATTTGCCTAAGTTCATTAACACCACACAGGTGACAGTTTAAAATGCGGAAGGTATTTCTGTCGCACTATGTACTTCACAGATGACTTTATAAGTCTTTACTCAGTCCAGCAAGAGACACGTAAACATTCTAGTTTGACAATTATTCACATGACTTTGTTGTATGAAGATTTTAAAAAATGATAAGGCACATGTCATTTACCGTAGTGATGTGGTTAGCAAGCTTGTGACAGATTAATTATTATTAGTTCATTTTTAATGGATGACAAATGAATTTTTAGTGATATTTTATAATAAATAATAATAATAATAAGAAGAAGAATACTAAGAAGAAGAAGAAGAAGAAAAAGAAGAAGAAGAAAAAGAAGAAGAAGAAGAAAAAGAAGAAAAATAATAATAAGAATAAAAAGAATAAGAAGAATAAGAAAAAAAACCCCCAAAAAACTATTCGTCCATGTTTAGAATATTGCTGCTACATATGGTCCGATGTCCCTGCTATTTACCTTGAGCTCCTTGATAAAATCCAAAGACGAATCAGATATATAATTGGTCTTGATCTGGCGTCTCAACATCGGTCACTTTCTCACCGCCGTAAGGTTGTGCCTTTTCTATAAATACTTTCATGGTAATAGTTTGGATGAGCTCTTCGCTAAGGTATCTAGACTTTATGAATTTAAGTGCAAGTATTAGACTGGCGATGAGATCTCATCAATTTACATTTAAATTGGCTAAAGATGTAACTATAAATTCTGTCTAACAATTTCTTTTCTTGCACTTCTCCCTCTCAACTCCGTGCTTTCCAGTCAATCTAATCTGCAAAAAATTTAAATGCAATGTCAGTCGCTATCTACTGTTCTCCTGATTATTCATTCCTCTTCCCGTTCTTGAATAATGTTTCTGTTCCTAATTCTTCTACACCCTGTGACTCCTTGTGTCTTATTGTCTTTACTGCCTTGCATGGAGTGATACCGATTAAAAAAAATAAAATAATAATAACTAGAAAGATTCGTGAAAATTTCACGGCTTTCCTATTTTAAATTTCTGATGAATCTTAATTCTTCGGTTAATTATTGAATAAGCTCATGGCCACATCTATGACAATAAAATATCCGTAGAAATTCACCTATTGTATCGATAAATATTTAAGCTTAACAACTTTATCAAAATATTGCAATAATAATCATAAATATGAATGCTAGCCGTTATTTTAAAAAAAAATGGGTACAAATTAAAAGATCTGAAATTGACAACATTTTTTATTTCACTGAAACAGCCGACTGATAAATATTTCTTCTCTTTCTTTATTTTCTCACTGAAACCAAGTAATGTCTTTTCTCCTCTACCCTCGCTATCAAAACGCAGAATATACTATTATTTATGATGAGGTATTGACAGAAAGTAACAGTCGTGCTAAGGGAGGGACAAGAACAATTATAATAGGATTATTATCATTTATTTAGTTGTCTTTT